AGCAAGAGTATCCCCCCCACACACAAAAAGAGCAACCAGGAGAGGCCACATTCAGAATCTCCTGTCCACAATCCTTTGGTATTGTAATTTATGTCTGCATCCTCTATTTAGAAAGGTAAGCAATAATGATATGATTATGATCAAGCAAATAAGAACTATTTATATTGGAAAAAATTGCATGATGACATAAATAACACAATATGGACAAGTACATAACATGACCATCCAATATAATTACAGAAAAAAAGAAAAACTGGCCACCCCGCAGTTACTGGGTTCAATTCAAGGTTCAGTTCAAGGTACTGGCTATCACATACAAAGCCCTTCATGTCCTTCGACCCACGTATCTACAGGATCACCTTTCCTGCTATATTCTACCACAACTGCTTCACTTATCTGAGCAGGGTCTTCTGCAGGTACCACCCTGGAAACAGGTGAGATTAACAATTCCCCATACATGTTCATTCTCCACTCCAACCCCCACGTTGTGAAATAGCTTGTTTGAGAAAATCAAGAAAGCATCCACACTTCTGGCATTCCAGAAACTATGTAAAACAAAATTGTTCATGGGGGCATTTTTATAAAGGCTACAGAACTATATTACGATGCAACAGCACAAGAAGATGATTTAACAGCAAGGGTCTGTGGGTTGTATACCACTATATGGCTCCGGTCACACGGGCAGGAAAATGCGGGGGGGGAGCGTAGCTGTTAGCCCCGGGGCAAAATAACGCACGGTTGCGCGAGCAGACGTCTCCTGGAGGTCCCGTAAAGGTCATGTGTATAGGGGGGAGGTGCCGATCACACAACCATGCGGCAAAGAAGCGGCTGAAACGGACTACATGTCCCAGAAGGGCACTCGGTGGGAGGAGAAGGGAGAAAGGGACGTGGCCAAGGGGTGGGGAAGAGGGAGCTTGAGTCCTGACAATGAGACCGAAAGGCAGGTCCCCCGGAGGGGGGGGGCGCCGCTCTGGGCAGCTCTGCGCTGCCTTCTGTGCGGCTCCTGGGGACGGTTGGACAAGCAGTTGCCTCTTCGCCTTCCTCCAGGGCAAATGTTTTTTCCCTGAACACTGAAGTATGTGCATGCTCCTTGGGTGCTTGTGCGCATCCATGGAAACTTTGGGGGGGGGAAGCTTTTTGCGAGGGGACATGGGCGGGCGCCGGATGCCACCGGAAACGCGATCAGACACCCGCCCTTGCCCCGCGGTTTCCGGAAACTAGTACCTCCGAGGTACTAGTTTTTTGCAGCGCGTATTCGGCAGGAAGCCTTGGGTGACCCACGGGAGCGCTACGCTTCCCAGATGTGCCGGTGAGATCGCACCCGGAAAATCCGCCTATCTTCCGTCTCTGTAGCATGGCTAATGTTTCGTGTGACCGCAGCCTAAGTTTATTATATGTGTTATCTTGCTCTCACTATTATCATTATTATCATTATTATCATTATTATCATTATTATCATTATTATTATTAAATTTATAGCCCACCCTCCCCGCAAGCGAGAGATAACTATGTTATCTATGTAATTCCACCTTTTGGCTTTGTTAACATATCATATCTAACACATTTGCTTTGTTTTCAGATTTCTGTAATCTGCTGTCCTGCTATTTTGCTTATCAGATGTCTTCTTCTACTGACCTACATTGGGTAATTTGCCTTGTGTCATGGTTGGCCATAACATGACGCCTTGATGTTCTAAGGCGCCATATTATGGCCAGCCATAAGGTAAATTACACAATACAAGGCAGTAGAATAAGACATCTGATAAGGAAAGTAGCAGGTCACTGGATTACAGAAATCTGTCATAACTGGCCATAATACGAGGCCTCAATTTATTTTTTCTCATTAGGACAAATAAAATTGAGGCCTCATATTATGGCTGCCATGACACAAGTTTCAATGAGAAAGGCAGACGACGAAGAACAATGACTGAGGGAGAAGGAAATATACATCTCTAAATAAATAATACTATAATGATTTCTGAAGTGAACAAATAATTAGTGACACAAAAAATCTAGTTGCTGAGCCGATGCGGAAGGCCAGACTCACAGAAGAGCACAGCTCCTCCCACATTACTGAAAAGGTAGCATGGCCTACCCAAGGAAGTCGGGAAAGCTACCTCTCTCCTGGACTTCTGCAAACTGTGCAAAACTGAAATATTCAAGAGGGATTTTTTGGAGCAGGTAAGAGGGTGGCACTGCACAAAATGGTTTTCCAAACTAGCTTGGATAAATGATTAAGGACTGTGGTCTATACTGTTGCCTTTAGCTTACTGTAAATCTACATTCTAATAGACAAAGTCCCTTCTCCGTGCAGGTATTTATTTCTGCCAACGGAGGGCTCACTCTCCCCCAACAACTTTTTCTACAGACTCAGGGGACAGTGTGGGGCTGCAGAAAAATCAAAAAAGTTTTTTAAAAAAAACCTTGGGGAGGGTTGAATTCCCCTCAATACCTTTTGAAATGGCCTCCACAGGGATCTACTCCAGGCATCAATGTGAGAGATTAGAACATTCGGGGGAGGGGGGGAGGCTTCTAACTGGTTCTGTCAGTAAAAGGCAGGGAGGAAAGGGCCCTTTCCAGGCCTATTTCAGCCCTTGAGGGAGGGAGACTAGCATGACTCAACTAGGCCTGGATGCTTGCTGCTCTTCAACAGCAGCCACCCTATGAAAGTCAGTGTGGTACAGCAGTTAGTGTTTCAAAGTAGGGTCTGCAAGACCCAGGTTCAGATCCCCATCTTGCTGTGGAAGCTGATTGGGTGGTTTTGGACCAGTCACACACTTTCAGCCTAACCAACCTCACAGGGTTGTTGTGCAGATTAAAAGAAGGAGAGAATAATATAAGCTGCTTTGGTCCCCACTGTGGAGAAAGACTGTAATTTTCCTAGTTGGCTAAGGGTAAGTGGGGTGGAGATGGAAAGCTGAAGACAGAGAGGCAGATAAAGGTAGGTTGGCTGTTGGGTGAGGAGATAGGGTTGCCAACTCCAGGTTGGGAAATTCCTGGACATTTGCACAGTGGAGCCTGGAGAGGGTGGGATTTGAGGAGGGGAGGAACTTTGGACTGGTGTAATGCCGTAGACTCCACCCTCCAAACCAGCCATTTCCTCCATGAGAACTACCATTGCCAGTCACCAGATGAGGGCTGAAGATCACCCAGAATTACAACTGTTGTCCAGGTGACAAGAGATCAGTTCCCCTGGATAAAACAGCTGTTTTGGAGGGTTGAGTCTGTAGCATTATACCCTGCTGAGGCTGCTTGCCTCCCCAAGGCTCCACACCCAAATCTCCAGGAATTTTTCAACCTGGAGCTGGCAGCCCTAAGGTGAATTGATCTCTGTAGCTGGGAGATCCGTTGTTATTCCCGGAGAGCTACCACTGCTGCTATGGGGGGGAGAGGAAGCAGGTGGATGGCTGGGAGCACCACCTCCACTGTTGCTGCTGTGCAGGGTGGGGGAGAAAGTAGGCAGGAGGCTGGGAGAGTGATAGGGGCAGAAAGAGTGATGGGGAGGGGTGGCAAAAAGAGAGAGAAAAAGTGATGAGGTGGGGAAGCAGGGGGATAAAAAGAATGATGATGGGTCAGAAAGAGAGAGGAAGTAACATGCATGTAGGAGAGATAGAGACTAAGGAAGGCAGAATGGAGAAAGACTGCGAGAGATGTAGGGGGAGAGGAGAGGAAGCAAAGGTGTGAGGAATGGGATAACTATCCCGCAAGTTTCTTGCGGGTCTCCACTTGTAGGATCCTATTTGTTTAATTTCTGTACCGCTTAATGTGTTATGTGAATACTTATGCTATGCTTCAGATCTTTCTGGTGGTTCCAGTCTTCTAAAATCCTAATGCATTGGTTACTGAATGTCCTGTTTTTGTGACTGTACTGGCTCACTATGTGTAATCCACCTTGAGTCCCTGTGAGAAACGTAGACTATAAATAACGTAAATAAAATAAAAACAAAATAAATTGTGAGCTTCCCACTCCCATATCACATGCCCATGTAAGCAGATCACTCACACAAGAACAGCTGTAGTAACTTCTATAGCACGTTGCAATCCTATAAACATTTACATACTCCTGAACACACAGTTGGGTTTACTTCAAAGTAAGCATGAATAGGATTTTGTTGTATGTCCCACTGAACTTTATGGGATTTCCTTCTGAACAAGCTAACACAGAATTTGGCTGCTATTTTTTCCACATGCTCTTTAAACTTGGAATCAGAACACCACACCAACATATAATCCATTTACCAATCTTCTGGGATGTGGAAATGTTTAACAAAATCCAGCTTTTGAAGTGAATGGTTCAGTAACAACCCCAAATGAGCCTAGTAGTGGAACTATGTTATCACATCTGTACAAAGATTTCTCTAGTCTATACCCATCACTTAGTACCCTTTAAACCCATGCTCCAAAGCATAAAATCAAGAAGCAACCAGAGTCCTGCATGAGTCTGAACTCCCCTGATTGTATTTACATTAAAGAGTACCGGAAACCCAACTTTTCAGCATCTGGAGAACACAGAGCCTTTCACATTAACACAGCCTTCATCATGTGACCTACCCTTCAAAACTTGTGGTAAACCGTATGGCTAGTTAACATGGCAGGCGAAGTTAAACATATAGCACAAGTTAAATATATACTCTGGGGGGAGCAGAGGCCAAGAGTATGTAACCCTTCTGAGAGCTTCAAAGTACCACAGCTGACCTACGAAGATGAACAGAGTTTTTGTACAGAGAGAGATCCTGCATGCCTCAGCCTTGCTTAGGAATTTGGGAGGCGTTGCACACACACATTTTTTAAAAAGAACAATAAACAGAAGGCCAGGAAAGCAGGCAGAAGCCGCAGCCATCTCTTTCTGAAAGCATGCGAAATATTGAAGTGAAAAGGGGGGGTGTTCAAGAGCCATCTCCCCCTCTTCTCCTCCTCCCCCCCCCCCGGCGGCGGCCGCCCAAGCCAAATCACAGAGGCGGCGGCGCTGCTTTTTGCAGAAGAAATTTTCGGGCAACTTACCTCGAGGAAGTGAGATCAAAAGGCTGTTTTCAGCCAGAGCTGCACGCGCTGGCCCTTCAGGCTCTGGAGGAAGAGGTTCTCTCACTCGGGACATCTGCCAGCTCTCTCCTCTGAGTAATAACGCTCTGACTCTCTCCCTTTTGACAAGCTTTAACGCACGACCCTGAAGGAACAAACAAATGGGGAGAGGAAAAGGCTTTCAAGGGGGGGGGGGTACATGTGAAAGAAAAGGGAGACTTTAAAAAGGAGATGTGCCACCAAGAAGCAACGTCAACTGTTGCAACTCTATAGTCAGCGCCGCTTTCTCCTCCCACCCTGATAAAAACGTGCATTAAAAACAAAACAAGCAAACTCGCAGGCAAGAGTGAAAAAAAAGTGAGCAAGGAGATAACCAGGAGCCCCGAAGCTTTCGGTCTGAAGGAACAGACGAGGCGTAGCAAACAGCCTTCCTTCCCGAAAGCAGAACTGAGGCGTCCCTACCTTGCCATTCTCTTGCAGCCTGAAAATCCTCGCCTCTTCTACGGAGGAGAAAACTTTCCGAGAGGCTCCTACCAGCCCAGCCAGTTCCCCAACATCACCCCCACCCGAGCCCCGCGGCTGCTTCTTCCCCTCCTGCTGTTTGCGACTGCAACAACCCCGCCTCCCCAGGCAGCCTCTTGCCCTGGCCCAGACCGAGCCTCCCGCGCGGGAAACTCCCTTCAACTTCCACACAAATCGCACGGCCCTCCCCTAAATTTGGGTCTTTCGCTCTCTTTCTCCCTCCTCCCCACTGTTTCCGCATCCTGAAAACCGTGGATTCTTGAGGCTGTGCCCTAGTTAGCGTCTTGAAAGAGGATAGAAAAGCGGCAAAGAAAGAATAGTCATAATTTTAAACCGAACTTGGTCTGGGCACAAGTGAGCCTGCCTACAAGTCATGGCCTCTGTCCCCTAGGAACAAATGCGAGGGAAATGGCTTTTCTTTCACTGTTAGCATTTCGGCGGGTATCACTGGCAGAAAAATCGAGTAAGGTCTGACACAAATGAACCATTGGTAGAGACTGCTTTCAGGGCCCCTTTTGCTAACTGTCAAGCCAGAGCAACTAAGAGCAGCCACTGCTAAATGCAGCTTTCCCCCCTTTGACTACATAACAGGCAGTGCAAGCCTATGAAAAGGAATTTCAGTTGATTTTAACGGGTTTAGATTAGGGTAACTCATCATAGGATTGTACTGGGGGTAGGTATGCTTGGGTTGTTGGAGTATCTGCTAGGTTGGATCTAGTGATGCATGGTGTGTGAGTGGAAAGGAAAATGTACTTGGCATGCTTCTGTTTATGCAAGGATTGCAACAGCACAGCACTTAAATATAAAGTCTGGAGAAATAACAATGTGCATCAAGAGCAATGAAATGTACAATAGACAGTTTGCATGATTTTATTTAATTTGCTATATCTTCGTGCACATGGAAGATAGTGGGAATACAATCACATTTCCGTGTGAATCTTTCAGAGGATCTATAGGATTTTCAAGGCAAGAGATGTTCAGAGGTGGTTTTCCATTGCCTGCCTCCTCATTGTGACCATGATATTCCTGGGAGGTCTCCTATCCAAATACTAGCCAGGGCCGGCCCTGCTTAGTTTTCAAGATCTGATGAGATCGGGCTATCCTGGCCAGGTCATATCCAATCCGTAGCCTCCAGAAAAAATGTAAACGTGACATCTGTGCACACCATAGATCTTGCTAACAAAATTCATACACTTGGATGTAAATATTAGCATCCAACCTGAGTATAGATTACCATATGACATCATCACAATCATGCTGGTGTCTCTAGTGCATACATATGTTGTGAAGAATTCAATCAGTTTTCTTCCCAAATATTAAAAATTTGCTATCCTGCCCTGTGCCCATACATACAGCATAGCTAAATTAATTTATTTTTTCACTGTTTTTAATCTGAAACAATCTTTAATAAAATATGTAGAACTCTTACCTAAGCCCATCATTAGCACATCGTTCATTAGAAGAGCAGCACTTGGCTCAGATCAACTTCAACATCAATTAAAAACATAGTGTGAGCTGCAAGAGGCTCATACAGTATTGGAGGTCAAGTTTTAAAAGTCTTATCTATGAACTACACACTTCATGAATTTAGTGGCACTGTGATTATCTCCCTCAATGGGATGGGCTGAGTTTGCTCTTCTACAGTTGTAGGTCCCAAACTCCAACATAAGGGTGAGTGAGTCACAGCCCTAAAATTATGCATGTGTCCCACTGATATCAATGGGATTTGCATGCATTTAACTGTGACTAAAGTTGAGGCCAAACTTTAAAAACATATGCAGAAAATTAGAAATAAGCTTTATCACAGTTACTTGTATGGTGGAACCGTCCTACTCTGACCTGCAGACCCTGTTCCACCATGCCCTCCAAGGTTTTCCCAACACCAGGAGGGGCTTTTCTCTCTCTCTGTTCAGCCACCACCTGACCTTTGTAGGAATTACCCACTGGGAGGGTCAGGACTCCTAGCTTCCCTTCCAAGATCTGAGGCCTTGCATCTGTGTCTCCTGTTACCCAGCACCTGGTTACCATAGGGACAGCTTACTGCCTTCTGCGCCACTGGGAGAATAGCCACTTGCCAACTGACTGCCCTCCTCTTCTTCCTAGTGCTCCTTTTGTAATAGTGTGTCCAAAACAGTGGAGGCCTATGTGGTACAGAGAACCCCTACCAGAATCAAAAGTTATAAAGCATTTATTAAAAAGAAAATGTTCACAAGCGTACTTTTAGTAATAATTACATGGCTTTATTTTTTTGGTTCCCTACTTTTCAAGGGCTCTGTGAAGCCTGAATTGGGACGGAGACAGGGCCGGCCCTAGGTTTTTTTGCACACTAGGAAAGGCTACCTTCTGGCACACACACCCCCCCCCCATTTTTCAAACATAAATGCATTTTAGGAAGAATGAAAAACAAAAAAAATGAAATTGCTAATTTCTTTTTTTTAATTGTGAGAACATGGATCCATGCTATGGATGCCTCAAGAATCAACCACTGTAATGTCATCTCCTGCCTGGTTCTTTTTAACCTACTGTTCCCTGAGCTGATGCAGAAATCAGAAAAGGAGCCAGTTTCTCCAATAAGAGCTCTGGATGCCAGTTCCCTCCCACATTACTGCACCCCACAGCTAGAACAGACTGTTACTCAACAATTCTAACAGCCAGGGGGCAGTGCTAAAGGCAGTTCCAGGCCCCTAAGAACACGGGGCACTTTCCTGAGAATGTGCAGGTTAGATGGCCCCAGCACCCACCACGACCCTTCCTGGACCCCAAAGCAGACATTCATGTGGTGGCTCAGCCACTCCTCCAGCCTGCCCCTGTCCCTTCTCTGCCCCCAAATGACATGCCCCACCCCTGCAATATAAAGCTCTGAGACCTCTTCACAAGGTGCTTCTTCCTTGGAAATGCCTAGCAGTAAGGGCAAGCTATAAGAGGTAGATAAAGGCAGGTGCTAGCAGTCCTCTGCATATGAGTTTCATTTGCTGGGCTTATACCTGCCTTCCACACACAAACACTCAACAAAAAATCCCACAGAAGGAAAGTGGAAGAGAATGCTAGGTGCCTCACTGGTCCATCCCTACCCCTCATAAAGAGTGCCTCGTAAGGCGTCACATGCTTCAGGTTCAGACTGTTGTTTGTTGTACTTGTGGTTACACAAAAGGCTGGTGTAACCACAAGTACAACAAACAACAGTCTGAGCCTGAAGCATGTGAAGCCTTACGAGGCACTCTTTATGAGGGGTAGGGATGGACCAGTGAGGCACCTAGCATTCTCTTCCACTTTCCTTCTGTGGGATTTTTTGTTGAGTGTTTGTGTGTGGAAGGCAGGTATAAGCCCAGCAAATGAAACTCATATGCAGAGGACTGCTAGCACCTGCCTTTATCTACCTCTTATAGCTTGCCCTTACACACTCCCTGCCTTATACCGTGAAAAAAACATTTTTGGTCTTAAAGGGGCCACTGAACTCAAACTTCGTTCTTCTGCTGCAGAACAACATGGCTACCCCACCTGAATCTACACTCCCTGCCAGTCTGCCTGCCTTTTAATTCTGTCGTGGACCCACGCTTTGGGCATGTGAGCTCACAAGCTAAGCCCCACCACCACCAACGGAGCATTGACTCTGGAAGCTTAAACAACCCTGAAAATCTTGTTGGTCTTTAAGGCACTTCTGGACTCAAATCTAGCTCTTCTACACTTCAGACCAAGGCAGCAACCCACAGAATGCCCCCCCCCAGCTGCACTCTCCAGGGCTTGCTACTTTGCCTCAAGCACCTTCAGCACCCTTCCCTCATTCTCTCCCCCCCCCCGCCGCCATCTACTTCCAGGTACCTGGCAACCCCTCCAACCTCCTCCGGGAAGGAAGGCGCCCTGCTGCTCTCTCTCCTCCTGAAGGGGCCGCAGACACAAGCGAAGCCCAGTGAGGAGCTCCAGCAGGTGCAAGGGGGAAGCCCGGCGGCTTCGAGGTCCATGGCATTGGGGCGGGAAACACGCCTCTTGCCGGGGGAAGATGGTGGGAAGGTGGCGCACCAAGAAGGGGGCCCCCTCAGGAGCAGGAGGGAGGGGGCGGAGGTCTCTCCATCGTCCACGTGGTGGGAGCCCCCTCCCTCCGAGAAGTGCAAAAAAGGTGGGAAAGCAGCACGCCACACACAGCAGCCCTCAGAGTGGCTCTCATGGAGGCTCTGAGGAGGAGCAGGAGAAGGAGGGGCAGAAGTGGCGGCCTGCCTACCTGGGGCACCTTTTCTCAGGAAGCCTCTCTGCACCCCCTGATGTCTGAGCCCCTAGGCGGACACCGAGGTTGGCCTAGTGATAGAGCTGGCCCTGGACGGAGATGCAAAGGTATCTTCTAGCTTGTTTTTTAGCTCTTAAGGGATTGTGCATTTCTCATTTGCTGCCTTGCACTGGCAAGCCCTTCTGTAACTTAAAACCTTGAAAGCAAATTAAGTTTGTAACCTAATTGCTTGTTTGACCTCATTCCTCCATCATGATATTGTTATATGCTCACCCCCTCCCCTTCCTCAAGTGGCCAATCCTATTGGGTTTAGTTTTCTTGGAGATTGAGTGCCTTTTTATAATGTTTTCTTTAGTTATATATGTACAAGTAGAGCATAAATGGGTACTCAGTGCAGGGCAGCACCAGATCCCCTATCCCAGAACAGTTCCTCAGAGACTGTGCACTACAAGCTGCTTAATCTCTGAGCAAACACACACATCTTCTTATCCCTGTTCTTCTATCTGGATTCAAAACTGTCAAAATCCACATCTCTCCTCTCTCTTTCTCACATACCTATGCCCACTCACATATATTCCCTTCAGCTGGGGAATTATTACTTTTTAAAAGTTTTGATGGGCAAAAGGGTTCAAATCCTCCAACTCGAAAGTCATCTCCTAACCATCAATATATTTAACTAAGAATAAGAATTTAACCAGCCTTGGGCACTCATCATCAATGTGCTGTGGCAACCTCAGCAGGGTATAATGACCAGGGCTTTTTTTGTAGAAAAAGCCCAGCAGGAACTCATTAGCATAATAGGCCACACCCAACATCAGAAACACATTAGCAAATTAGGCC